AAGCGCAAAGACGGTTTATATGAGTCACTTGGGCAAGGAGGCGCATGAGAATATGAGTGCAGATGTATTTTTAAATAAAAGAGGTTACAGCGAAACAAGGAATTGATAAATTTGCCTAGAAATGACAGAAGTGGGGTTTGAGTCTCACGGGAATAGAGGCAAACAATGGACATATTTTCCTATTGAACGCGCTCAAAGAGTAAATTTTGAAAAATAAATTGAAAGCGACCTTTAAAGACTCAAAATCGCTGTCTTCTGTTTTCAATACCCATATTTTGATAAATTGATAAACTAATTAATGGAAATAAATTTTTATTAACTGGATGACGATAAAGCTTAAAATAGTCTACTTCTATCAAATGTACTCTTGACCAAAGCATATTATGATTATAGCCTTTAAATTAACTTTATTTAAAATAAAATTTGAACGACAATTTTCAATAGCCTGTCATCGGGGAATTTGTTTAATTCACTCTCCTGAAATTAGGTCACATCTATGCGTGAACCGATTAAGTCTACACGTTGTTGTTATTATTATGATTTTTTGCGATTTAATTTTCATAAGCAAATTGTTAATAATTTAAACAGCGAACCTTGGACGTAGGAGTTGTTAAGACAGAAAAGAGTGGATCACTAAATTATTGTGCCCCAAGTGCATGATAAGCAGATCTTGAAGATACAGGGAAAGGATGGTAAACGTGCGGCGAATAATTCTTTTACCATAGTGCGATAAAGTACGTTATGCATCTGTTTTGAGATAGGTGTATGAGGTGAATTGGGAAAACTGAACATATGTGAGTCAAATATCTTCGAAAATGGATGAACTATTCAAATGAATTGATTTATTGATGTAACTTGATGCATTCAATTCATTGATACTCAAAATTGAGCTCGCAATTTATGGAAAAGTTAACACTGTGGGAAATAATACGAGCATAGATTGAATCGGTTTGAATTTTCCTTTGTCAAATTTTTGTGCATTTTGTTACTTTATCTCTAACTGGAATGGCTTATGTAAGAGAGAATCAATCATTTTAAATTCCATTCTTCTAACATTTCTACAAATAGGCACCGATGAATATTCTTCATTATGAGGAAGAAACATTGTCAAGGTTACACATTCCGTCCACACAGCGTGATTGGACTAATATATGATGATTTGGTCCCCTGCTTTTGTGTAGTTATTACAAATAATTTAATCTATCTTTACGTTCCCCAAAGCTAATCGCTAACATTTTATTGGGCTGTAAGAATAAATCTACCCACTCTTATTTGTCCTCTATATTTACTAGCTTCATTCAAAATTTTTTGTGCAGATTTGAATTCATCACTTCTGGTTTGTATGCTTTACTTCGTATCTTAGCCAAGGCGCTCTTATGAAGATGTGAATATTTCTATTAATCTTTCCGCACTTCTGTGGCAAGATGTTGTTTTGTTAGCAATTAAAAATGTGCTTTGCTTCAATGCCATTTAAAGGTTGCCTTGAAAGGCTTCAAATTTAACCTCAATCGTCTTGCCAAATAGAATCTCAAGTTCACTTAAAAGTTTTACTTCAATCATTTATGCCATTTTAGTAGAAACATCAGATCCGTCATGAAAGGAGTAGACTTGCTTTTGTAATGGTAGGGTTTAATGACAGCAGTAGGAGACTAAGAAATTATATTAGAGCAGGAATAATTATGTTTATTATGGAGTTAAACCGCAGTATCAGAATAAATTGAGTGATACAAATTAAAAGTCGGAGCGATACTTAAAATGCTATAATAAATTATAAATTACTGAAATAGGAAAATGTTAGCTACTGACCCATAGTAGCTTTTAAATCTTAAAATCTATTTTTTAAATTTAACGCTTTAAGCCATTTTCCAATTCAAAAATAATACTGTAATTTTAAATTAAATAAAGAGCGCCTTCTTTTAATCATTATCAAAAAATCAAATTTCTTTAGTTTTTTTTGCATCATCTCAGTTAAAAAGCATTTTTTAATTAGAAAAAAGTCAGTTAATTTTACACAAAAATTCCTTATTTGAGAAAATGTCCCAATAGGCCTGAAAGTTTTTTTCTATTTTCAAACGCTTACAGTCGCTTTTCATAGGCTTCGAAAATGCAAATTACTAGTTACATTTTGAGGGACAAAATGTAGAATTTTCCACTTGCTTGATTAATTCAAAATTATAATCTCGCCAAAAGAATTGTGCTTCACATTTTCTTCAAATTACACTTGCCACACAGATGAAATTAAATAGTTTGAATTCTCCAATTCTAACCTGGAATTCCATTGAAATGTGTATTAAGCATAAATATTAGCCAAAAAACAGGGTTTAAAAAATTAAATAGTTATTGGAGTCAGAATAGACTCAGCCCATATGTCTCGTCAGCATTTCGTGACGTGATGGGACACGCCAGTTCAAGTGACGCCCTCAGGAAAAAAATGGATTATTATATTAGAGTCATAAAATTTTGAGGATAGAAACTTTAATGTTTTTTATACGTTCAGTGTGGACGTTAAAAGCGCTGTTTAATAGCTTATATAGGAGTGCGAAATCATAATTTCATGAAAGTCAGTCAATTTTGATTTATAGTTTATGCTGTCTACTTAGCCACAAGGTAATAACTTGCGTAAAATTTTTTGCAAGGAAGAAAGAGGACGTTTTACTACCATGACGCGTTTTTAGCTTACGATTGGTCCATTGTTTACTGAAAGGTATTCATAGCTGGAGATGCGTGAATGCTTTCCAATGAATTGTAAATTAGTTTTTATAGCTATTAGATAAGTAGTGCACTAGATGACAATTTGTCAGAAGGTTCAAATCATTCTCGAACCATTCAAGTAATGCCAACAATGAGAACTAGTCAAAAATACGAAGTTGATTATTAAAAAAGGATTATTATTACAAAACCTTCGAGTATTTCAATCTCAGGTTTTACTAATTGTTTCAAATAAATAATCTACGTATCGAAAACTTTAAGTGAAACTAACGCGTTCAAATAATTAAAATCAATGATAATGGTAATTTAGATCAATGAAAAATTTCTCAATCCCTTTCTTTACTCAAAATGATATTTTGGCATTTTGTCCTAGACATTTAAATATATCACAACATGTGTCAAGCCAACGCTCTTGTTGTATAGTTATACTTATTTATTTTGAATGGATTGTTCGAACTATATTATTAAATTTATAAGCCGACTGTTATTTGCATTTCAGACCAATGGTACATCGTGTCCACCACGACGAAATGGTATGCGCAAGTTTTGACTGAAATATGTTTCTTTTTTTAAATAATAACTGCTTGCCTGGAATTTCACAATCCTTGTTCATTAATTATATCCAAGGGTGTTTCATGAAGGGAAAATATCCCGAAATTATTTCAAATTTTGTGGTTTAGTGAATTGGCTTATCACTAATCCCTGCCTTTTCTCTCTGGCTGTAATTTATGTCTATAAAACATGCCGAGTTAATCAGAAACATCCAGTGAGCTTTATGGGGGATTACAAACTTCTTATTGAAGTTGAAATTTTTTCATCTAAATTTTACTTAATGCAACCATAAAGCGATTGAGTCGGAAATTTGCACAAATTCTTTGGACTCATTAATATGAAAGCGAAAAAAATTTGCTCAATGACTTTGGATTGAACTTCAGTTTTGTTAGGTACAAGTAAAGCTTTTGTTATTAATTTTCTGAAACTTTTGAAGAACTTGAATGTTTTACTCTTTCATGAAGCTGAGATGAAAATAATTTATTTGATTTACTTTGACGATGGCTAGTGAAATTACGAATTGCATAATTTCAATTTGAGATGGCTGATTGATTCCTATTCATCATTTTATCAAGTCTAATTGCTAATTTATAATAGCCAAAGGGTAAACCAACGGAAAGATTTCAATTATTTAAAAAGTTTTAGAATATTCGATAGAATTATTTGCGTTCTACTCACGCAAAGAGGTTTAATTCTTAAACTGCCGTGGAGTTGAATTAGCTGTCAAATACACAGAATATGAACATAAATGTCAAAGAATTTTGCGGTATTTGAAGATTGTCGGAAGAAATGAATTTTATCTCATCATTATTAAAAAATTAATTTAAATGGAAGAAGAGTTTCAAGGTGATTGATAAGAAAACTACGTTGGATGTCAGCTGTCACTTGCCTTTCCTGCCAGTTTCAGTTAGTTTGATTGTGGAATTAAACTTCCGCCTCAACATTCACAAATTTAAAGATTAGATTATGATGATTCTACCTACAAGTTGGATCTCCAGAGTGATTGGTGGATATAAACAATGATTTACAGCTTTGATGATTTAATATTGCTAGAGTTCAATTGAGTAAGTGCCAATACTAGACTTTATCGGGTCCATTTGTTTAATTGTTCTAATGCAAGTTGATTTAATTCAATCAGGAATCATTATTATGCTTTAAGCCTGACACTTTGGACAGTTCCCTCGGAAAGGGCTCATTCGGAAGTCAGCGTAGGGGTTAATAAAAGGTAAAAATCATCAACAGATGGGGAAGGAGGCGGGAGGGTTCAGTGTTCGTGTACTGAGAATGAGCAATCAGAGCAATGTTACGAAAGTCATATGAATAAAGTATGAATTTTGATCTTACCAGATATTTATTATAGAGTAGTTTTTAGGCATGAAATAACAGAATAAATGAACCTAATATACTATAATGGTGAGAGGAAGATAAGAGTGGATGGAGAAACAGGAAAATACATCTAAGGGCTAGTGGAAGCAACCATTTTGATACAATGACAAGTCCTAGAGTTTTAATTAATAATATTTTGCGTCCTTATCATCCATTGATCCACTTGTTGCCCATGTTGGTCTCTGTGCTGTCTACCACTTTCATAAAGCTTACTTCTACTAGATCGGTAGCAACGAGCCTGCTTACTTAAATTGTCAATAATGTATAGATCGAGTAATGTGTCTTTATGCAAAATGCAACTATTAAACTAGAAGACTTTTATTTTTAAGGGGAGAGGTTTGCCTTTCAGCTTGATGACTCATCTCAATTCTACTACCAATTATTTAGATATTTCGCATGTTCGTGGAGGCAGACGAAGTCGAAGGACATATTATTATCCCCTCCCTAATGGAGAGGTCGGTGCAAGTTACCGAGGGAATAGGGAATACTGGAATGGCGAAATGGTACAAAGGGCTTCTTGGACGCCTCTAATTGAGGATCGTAGTTCCAGTAATGGTGTGATTGATCGTGGACCCTTGGTTGACTACCGAAATCCCGCAGATATTCAATTGCAACGGGACATTCCACAAGCTTCGTCTTCCAGTAGACGGCAATGTAAGCGTCAATTTCCTCACTTGTTTACAGTATCGATTATTTCAATTATTAGTTGGTATACGCATGTAGGATTTTAAAAAATGATTTAATGTTCATTTTAGAAAACCACGCGAAATAGAGAACTTTACTATTATTTATATTGTTTGTTAGATAAATAAGTGATGATAATAAATTTTCATAGCAACAAGAACGATATTTTTTAATGCATCCTCTCTGGTTTTTTATTTTAACAAAGAACCATGCTTTGTTTCCTTGGCATTTACTAAGTCTGTGTAACACAGTTAACGCGAAACACTTTTCATGAATTACGCATTTCTTGATTCTATCAATTTTTAAGTAAAGGTGTTTGAAAATGGGAATTATTTTTTTTTGCTGTTGCATCTGACAAGCCAGGGACTACCAATTTTGCACTCATCTATGGAAACCCGCTTCAATTCCTTAAAAATGGAAAGAAATTACCGAATGCGAAAATATCCGTCAATTCAGATTGTTGCAAATATTAATAATTTCGACAAGTTAGATTGAAAGTCATTTAATCAGAGAGATGTGCCAACCAGGGAAATTATCAACTATTCATACAACATCAATTTTATCACTGACTCATCTCACCCTTCTCCTGGGGCAATAATGACCATTGTTCTGTTCCGACTATAGTCCATCCTTTCCACCTTTCGTATCAGTTTTATGCCAGTAAGAAGCGCATGTCCATCATTTCCGTGGTGGGTTTCGAACGATACTTTTGTAATATTCTTACAATATTTATTTATTGTTTCAAATGACAGGAGTTTTGATAGTTATCATTAGCTCTTTA